ACGAATACAGCAACTCTTTTCGTAGAAGAAGTGATGAGGAAATGGTGTGCCCTTGATGATACGATTGGGATTATGAAATAAAATTTTTAATCAGTCAATAATTGCGACCTATCCGGTCGCCTGGAACCCCGACAACAACTATCGTTCTCTGGAAAGTTCATTCTAATATTTACACGTTTTGTGGAGTTCATCGAGCGAATAAGAATGTTCCAACAATGAGCTAAACCTACACGAGTTCCCGAATCCAACACGGCGCTTTTGAATCTTAGCGCTGTAGATAGTTCTGCGAGCAGTGTATACTTCTGTGCAGATATTCGTCTAACAGTTTTGCAACGTTGGAAAGCATCGGAATGATTCAGAATCACTGTGGAGTTGATACTCGGGAAGATAAGACGGGCACTTGGGAGAAACGGACCGTGGCATTTGAGACAGGGGCACAACCGGGGGACAAACGTGCTACAATCGCATACCCTTCCAAGGTCATCGCTTGGGCGACCGCGCGCGCGCCCAAGAAACCTTTTTTTTCTTCTTTTTAGGGTTGGGGGGGGGGGGGGGGGGGGGGGGGGGGAGGGGAGTGGTGTAGGCGCTGATTGTGTTCCTCCTTTGTGGCTTTTGACAGACGCACAACGAGACTGGCAGAACAAGCGCATGATTCATTTCTTTCGATGGAGGCGTTCTGTCTGTGTATGCGAACATGATTTGTTTCCCCTTTTAGTAGTTAGTTGTTCTTGCCTTGACTCGGGTCCCAGTGGGTGCGTTGTCGTTGTATGCCCACTATTTTTTTTTAGTTTATGGTAGTTTTTGCGCTGATGGGGTATCAAGGTAGACAAAAATAAAAAAAATAAAATAAAATAAAATAGCGCCTCGACAAAAAAAAAAAAAAGTTGTTGCGATCAGGAACGTTTTCAAAATCGATTTTAGGAGCCTGCAGTGTTACCACAGGTGCAGGATTGAGAGCGTAACCCACGCACTTGAAGAGAAGGGGAAGCTCTCGTCTTATCTGGACTCTCTTTTATGGGTTTCCACGTCGCGATTGTCCTTCAAAATCAACTGTCATTTATTTCTCGCTCGTGGCTTCCAAGTACTGGAAGCCACGACTCGAGCCACAATAGTTTTGCGAAATCAAGGTTTCGCTGAAATGGATAACTCTCACGTACAGTTCGACGCGCAATACCTTTGCCGTATTGACTCGCGAGAGATGCCCCCAACACGGCTGAGTATGGCGGTGCTCCAGACCTAACATCTAAATTTTGTTGCCTTCCCTGTTACTATTTCGCGCCCATTTTGAGCCATATCAAAATGAAAGCGCATGATGAAATAAAAATGACACTCGTTTTCCGCTCGATGGAAATTTCACATAAGCTCGCTGTCTTTGCTCGTACCTTGAGCGTTTCCCAGCGATGCGGAGAGTTAAAAAAAAAAAAAAAAAAACACGTACGATGGCATCCTTTGCACACTCATTACTTCTATAACACTGAGCCACCTCGTATCCTTTTGTTTTTCTTTCATGGTACTAATTTCTTTCTGCGCATTACGGCTGTTACGACGCTAAGTCTGTCTGCCCTTCGAATTTGAACTTAGGCTCAGATCAGGGACGAACCAGTTTAAATAAGGAAAATATAATTAACACTGTAGCAAAGTAAATCTATCATATCGATCGGAAATACGATTTGGCACATTCCATCTGAACACATATTGTGCACAGCGAATGCAATAGCGAGTCAGCGTGCAAAACGCCGCCACACTGAGCGACCATAACATCTCAGCGATTTTTGCATAGCACCGAGCACGGAAAAGAGAAAACAGTTATTCATTCACATAAACGAAGCAAATTTATTTAAAGCCCGGACACTCCGTACGTCCAATCTAGCTAAGGCTATCAATAGACTCGACCATGTCATTTGTCGAAACAGATAAAAGACGTTGGCAAAAATGATTAGACTGAATAAGTGAATCTAACGCACGTATTTTACCAACCGACGGTCGCGCGCCTTCAATACCCTTTCCAATTGTCATTGCGCACCTCGGACACACTTTGGGGAGCAATGCATATTTACATCGCCGCCCGAGGTCTCCATTGAACGTGTAGTGCTGACCCAAATAAAATGCTAACCTGACTCTCAATCACTCACCGCAAAGGACGATTTCGAACAGGCAGTACTGTAGGTCACTTGAGATAGAAAAAAAAAAAAAAAAAAAAGAAGAAAAACAAGCTATAGAAACGAGCGTCGCAAAAAAGGGGACCGGCATTTTTATTCCTACCTCCGAACAGAAACGAGCGCCACCCACTGCATCACACAGCGCAGAGGCCGGACTCGGCCACCGCGCGTACATACCAAGCGCGCGCGTGGGAGGGAGAAACTTCCTCCGCCGGGAGAACACGGCACATTTCGGGATCTATTTCACGCAGCGGATAACGCGGGCCTTTTCACACCTCGATACTGGCGCCATCTAGAAGTTGCGCGTTCAACCACGTTTCGAGCCGCGCGCCATCTGGTGGCTGAAACGGACGAATAAATAGAGGTACCGCGCCCTCTTAAGCCCGGCAATGAAAGTTCTTTTCTTCTCAGATTGAAGAGAAACGCTCAAAATTTTGGGCGAGTTTTCTCCTTTTTGTCTCAATAAGCGAAGTCTACTTCACACTAGCCATTAGTTATATTCACTTAATTGATCATTGCCATAATTTACCTATACCTTTCCTCTCCCTTCACCACGAACGGGGTCCTTCGTCATCTCCGCCAATCCTCAAGGGGTCCGCGAAACAAGAACGGTTGAGAACCACTGGTCAAAACATATCTTTCGGCATTGTCATTCACTGAGCTGCCTCCGTAAGTTGCGGTGACTGGCTCTCCGAGTGTTGTGCGTGAAAGTAGACGCACAGAATTTTTTTTTAGAGTGTACCGTGCGCTATAGTTCCTCGATATGCTCCCCCCAAAAGGGTAGCAGAGTTGCGCCTTTGTTTTCCCTGAGCCGCCACGCCGCTATTCGCCACAATCGGTCACGTGAACAGCAAAGCATCCAGCGCCGTGCACGTTGGAGTATGTTCCCCTGATTTCGCCTCATTCTCCTCCTTTCTTGTTTTCCATGCGCGGCGCGGCTATTCGCCGAATTCAGTCACGTGACGAGCAAAGCATTCATGGCTGTGCAGGAAAGTCGGCGCTAAGCCACCCGCCGAGGATGAACGCTCAACTCTTCTACCCTAGGTAGCAATATACAGGAACTCTAACGTGCGCTGGTTTCTGCGCTGTCATCGAGCTACCTGTTTGAAAGCAGACGCGGAAGGGGAGATCACTGCCCTGTCGCGTTGTATCAGTTGCACATGCGTAGACACACGAAGCGCTCCTGGCCTCTGCAGCGCTGCATTCTCTTAGAAGACTGACTTAGCGTCAATTTAAATAGGATGCAGCGCTGATTTTTAGATTAGTTCGCTCCGAGGTGAGAAGGAAAACCCGGCAATGAGAGGAGGAACAATGCCATAATGGAGGGTGGTTTTGATGGCACCTGTTCATGTTTCGTACCTGGATTCCGAACATGCGCAAAGAACACCACCGAAGCAATTGCTTGCTATCTAGACGGTTTATAGCTAAAGTGCTTTACCCGTTACAACAAGCTTTGAGCCAAACACAGCACCAACGTCGCTACTACCACCAGCACGCGATCTCAAGAAAATCGCGTGGCTGCGGTCAATTTTTCTTTTTACTCCATTTCAGCGCAACTTGGCGGAACGCGGAAGCTACGACCCACTTCAGCCAATCACAGCGACGTAGCGAGGCACGGACATGACGGCTTTCCGCGAGAGAAGTAGGCAGAGTCAAAGAGTAACCGCATTTGACTTACAAAAAAATCGAAATCTCGCAATGGACAGCTGCGTTTCGAAGACTGTGTTGCCCCTCACCATAGGGAGCTGTACGCGCGGACTGCGGAAAAATGTCACGTGACCACAGCACTCCTAAAATGGCCGCCCCCTTGAAAGCCTGCAGGAAGCACTCAGTAATCCGGTTTTTGGGTGCACAGAGTGAAAAGCCCACGGATATTCATCGCAGGGTGTTGAAGCAATATGGCAGTGCCTGTATGTCACTTAAACAGGTCTTCGGAGTGGAGAGTCAAGTCTGACCTCGCTTCGGTCGGGCTTACACTTAGACGACGCCGCACTCAATATCATAACTTGAACGGTTTGTACACGAAGACCGCCTTGTACTTATTGCTGAAGAATTTAACATTAGTCATGGCTAAGTGCACCCTACTACTTACAGCATTCTGCAGTCATGAAGTCCCCCCCCCCCCCCCCAATAACACGTGCGACGAGAAAAAAAAAATCAATTGAAAGTCTACGTTTTCAGAGCGTTCCGCATCCACCATACTGAAAGGACCTGGCACCGTTCTCGACGGAATGAGTTGAAAGCGGCGGTGCAACTCTGGCTTCCTGCGTTATCAGCAAAACGTTTTCTTTCGAGGCATCCACGCATTGATCAAGCGTTGTGCACGTATGTTGAACGCGGGCAGGCGGCACATTGTTTTTAACGCCGTCTTTATTATTATGCAAATAAAAACAATATGTATATTGCGTTTTTTATTTTATTTTTACTCTGCCTCGGACTATCTGACGTTACGTTATTGCCAGGTGCCTCACCCCGATGTTCTGAATGGCTCACGCCACACGCGAGCCGTTACTAATGGCCATAGGAGAAAAGCGCAACAGTGAGAGAAGGAAATCCGTGGAGCCATGGGGCTCTCTGCACGCGAGAATCGGCACAGATTCTTCCCAACTATTCGTTTCTCTATAAACTACAGAACAAAGAACAACCACAATCAGCGCTGCCCCTGATGTGGGTATGCTACTAAACTTAAGCTTCATCTGCACCATGAAATTCCGTCTTTTTTTTTTTTTTCTGTGCGTACGTATCAGAAGGGGCCATGATATAGAAGCACAAGGGATTCGATACTCGAGCAAAAAATCCACTCGGCCACCGTGGAATTAAAACAGCGAACGAAAACCGGTAAAGAGTAAAAAGCGTTGTTTTTATTATTACACTCTATAGGTACGTATGTGACAGCAAACAAATAATTTAGCTTCCAACAGTCGTGGCCACCTGAGTTCACACAAACACATTTAATAGACTCTATAAGGAGCGGGACCTCGACGCGTGCGCGTCGGCCCACCGAGACGGGATGACGGGCGTACAGACGTCTACGAGATACACGCCGCTTGCTGGCCATGACGTTATTCAAACAATGAGGAACTTGGGTCTCGCACTTCGACAGAAAAGTAAGTAATTCGCACCTCGGCACTCGAGAACCACGTCGGCGTGATATTCGCGGATTTGGCGTCTTTGTTTCGGCCCAAGTTCAACGAATCGAAAAAGTCGCGGGGAACTCGGTCGGTTGATAAACAGTGGCGAAACAAAAAATCGACGCGTGGGTTTTTCTACTCGAATAAATCCTGATGCCGGCATTTGGGGTAAAAAAAAAAGGAAATCTACGATTTTATAGTTGGATTGTTTTCTTAAGGGGCGAAATCGGTTGCGTCAACGGAGATTCTGACCAAGACAAACGGCTTGAAAAAGCAACAAAAATGTCTTCTGTTTGTTACTTTGAGAAGTTTGAGAACCCACAGGCAATCCGGCGTCGCCTCTGTCTATTGTTATAGGAACCTTATTTTTACAGGAAGACGATGTGCCACGTTCAGCTGAAAGATAATTTAGGAGGCATTTGCTTCAGAGTTCCTGCATAGCTGAACTGATAAAGACCACAAGCGAAATGGTGAGTTATCATCAAAGTGTTTTTCTGCTTAAAAGCGCTAGAAAAATCCTACCGTCTTTGGCGTAATTGCGCTGTCGAATGTTCGACCATTTATTCTTCTGCAAAGGTATCTTGAGCACGTGCCGAACGTTGTTTCGTGGCGACCACTCGACCACTGCGGTTTCGAGGACTAGAGGCCATGGAGAATGTTGGCGTCGACATTCACTCGTCAATTGGCCTCTTTCTACTGTTGGTAGGCTTTTTATAAAAAGCCTATCAACAGCAGATGTTAAGTTGTTGGTACCGAGAATGCCCCACGTTCAGTTTTTGCTTCTATGACCTCAGTTCTCAGTTTTTGTTGACCGCAGGCTTTGCAGATGACTGAAAGCCAGCGAATACCAGGTTAGGTTTATCCGCACCATGCTGGCGTTGATCGAGAACCAGTTGTGACGATAACATACAGAAATAAAAGGTGGCAACTGAGATGCCAATGCGGCTATACCTACCGTGGCACGCCATTCAATACTCTGGTAGTACTGTCCCAAGTACTGAGTTGTTCTCCTTTTGAGACCGGTTGAGCGGTGCCCGCCTCGTCTGAAAAATGGGGCACGCCCGCCTTGTTTTTTACGCACATCCGGTCGTATATTGAACTTTCTGAGATAATTTTCAAGCTCGGACATAAAGTGTCTAGCTGGAGACCGCGTGAGAACCCTTGCACCACTTCCATTATTGCGAGGAATATGAGCCTTATGTCCTTTGATTACACTTTATAATCCAACACCGCACGTTGCCAAACGGGCATTTCCTGATTTGTGCCTTGATTATTGCCGTCATTTATAATTCCTTTAGTTGACGCGTGTGCTAGAGCCAAATCCGGATATCACGGGGACATGATTCTTTGCTGTGGGACAACAGATGCGATATGATTTACATGGGAGGGATGGAGGGCGTCTCATTAAATGTGTTTGTCATTACAAACGTACACAAGACTACCTCGTTCATTCTCTCTTTCTCTCCTACTCTTTCTCTCTCCAACACACTGAGAGATGATGAGTTTCGGGGGCGGTGAGGTGATGACATATACAATGATCTCTCCACAAAGGAAAAAAAAATGCAGTAAGGCGAAAATTTCTGTCCGCGCTAACCCGACATCAGATACGACACGCTTTCTGTATCTGTAGACCCTTTCGTTTAAGAACACACAAAATTAACAGATCAAGATAAACTCGGTTCGTGAAAAATTTTGTTGAAAATATTATAAAGGACGACCATTACACACCCCATCGTGGAAACGCGCACACTGCATGAGCGAATACTCATCACTGCCACAAAGCTTTCGTGATTAAACAAAAGATAATGCATGTTCCGTTCAATTCATGTACAATGAGCTTGACGTTGTTATCGTCTAGCACACAGTTATTGCAGTTTAATTAAGGAAAGAACTGATGTATTTCTACCAGTTGGAATACTTCAGTCGGAAAAGTTTGAACTAGCTCTGATACTGGGATGTGCGATTTGGTTTCAACGCACATTAAGAATCTTTCCACTTCTGATTGCTAGATTGTTTATGAAAAATGAGGCAGTGTAATCTAATTCGATCCCGTGTACACGCAACACATACAGCTTTTCACAACGCCACGATAAAACTTTGTCGACGTTGCGGCGGCTCGCGCATCAACGTATACGACACTCGGTTTTTTATTCACGCAGAGAGGTCCAAAGTGACACTTCTGAAAGCTTTGAAACCTCGCTTCTGTTACAAAAGAAGTGTGGCGCCACGGATGTGTGGGCATTTTCACAACCTCGTGGTTGGCGATTGCTTTTTTTTTTTCTTTTTTTTCACACGTGTATCCATTACTGAGGAAGGGTCTACGACGTTTATCGGGGAAAAAAAATCACATCAGTCCTTCCTTTACGCGGCGACATTTCTTGTGTTCCTTGGGACGCTGTTATGGGGCCGCTCGCACTGAACGATCAAAGTAGAGGAACCCGTAAAGTGAAACTCGTCATGTCCATGGCCGGATGCTGTCGACATCGAGATCTCCACACTTGTGCCGCCTCCAGTGTCCCGTCGCGACACCTGTCGGAGGACAGAGAAGGCGAGTGTCGTGTCAACAGCTTCTGAGGTGTCCCGCACGCTAACTGCATAATGCACTCCTTACAGCACCAACGAAAGATTGCCCAGCAAAAGCAGGCTTGTCCGATCAGATATAGTTTTAAAATATTGAAAGCCAATGAGGATTACTAAGACAAATTACTAAGACAAGGAATTAGACGGTACCCTGTAAAGGGCGGTTCTCTGTGTTTCCAGAAGACACACACATATGCACAGGAAAACATACGCAGCGTGTTCCAAAACGGCAGGAGGTTAATCGAAGCCCTCATCAAAATAGAAGCTGCGCATTGGCAACGCGCTCAAAATGTCTTAGACAAAGTTCAGGTCATCGATTGATAACGATTTATTAACAAAAGAGGGTTGCTCTATTTATGGGAGGCAGACACGCGGATCTGACACAAACGATTAACGTAAATTATGCTTCCTCTTAGCACACACTGACAGTGGCCACATGAGAAAGTTTGAGGACACCGTCTTCTGAACGTTGAGTAATACATGCCCAGGACATTGGTAAGAAGCCATTTGAGTTCATCTGTTGACTCAGAATGTGCCCAGTAATGTCTTCTTACCCAACGACGGTTCCATCCATTGTCCATTAAACAATCTCCCATAACGTTGATATTGAACAAATTACGAATTTGATGCCGACTCCGCAGCATATGATGAAAGGACAAGCTAAGGCACAGACTTCTTTGGTGGCACACTGCTTACGCGGCTGGTGTTGCGAGATGTCGTTCTCTGGTCCTCGATGGGTGGTATCTTAAGAATCGGTCGGCGTCTCTGGCTCTCCTGGAGGGATGGGACCCTGCCAAGAAAACGGAACAGCGCACACAAAGCGTCAAAAGTTAGAGGGTTGATAACTCGATGCAATACTAGCAAACTGGCGTGCTAACGCTAATTATCGCGAAAAAAGTTGTTATCAAGGGGCAAGTTTGAGCTTGAAGCTCTAAATGATCATGTTCAGATACTACGGCTTTGGAACTGTAGCTTTTGAGTGCAGTAGTTGTTCGAAATATAACGGATTTAATTTATTGTTACGTTGCATTTTCAGCAACTATACGTTATTGTTCGAAAACGACAGAATGTAAAGTTATGCCTTTATGCTTTTTTTTTTTTTTTCGTTTAACCGATTACCGCTACATCGACTAGTATAGCGTATCGAAGCCGGGCGAGAAATGCTATGGTATTTTAAAGCCAAAGTGTTCATATTGCATTACCATCCAGGAATGAAACAAGATCAGGCAGGACAGAACGTTTTGGTCTTACAGCTAACGTGTTGGGCGGTTTCCAGCCACAGCCTGGCAGAGGCAACCCGTCGGGACCTAGAGGACACGGGGCGTCTAGTCCGGGGACACCCTGTCGGAAAGAAGGGCGCTCTCGGGCCTGCTTCCGGGAAAACAGTGACGTGCACCCGTGCAGATATACGGGGCGGCCCCGATGGAGCGTTGGCCCTTTGTATAAATAGAGTATTCATCGATTTCTTAACGCGTCGTGCTAACATTTACTACACAGGTGACCGTAGGGAATATACTTGAAAGTACTAAAATGTAAGCTCACCTAAGTTAAGAGAAACGAAAGAATTTTTTTTTCCCCCTTTGGATGAAGGTTTAGCTAAGTCTTGTTGTTACAAAGCCGTCCATCAGAATTGCGGTTCACTCTGTCATTTTCTATGATAGAAGAACATGTGGAAAGAAAAGCGAATAAAATTGAATTACAGTTATCACCTCCAAAATAGACGCCACAGTGACCCACGATGTCGTTTAATGGTTTCACGCAAGCTAAGCGTGACCCGTAGCATGTTTGTTTTTCTTTTTTTGGTCAGGAGAACTAGTCTTTGTAATTTTTCGCTAAAAAAAAAACAACAACAACAACATCCGCCATTCGGCGACACCTCATTGTTCAATTATATGGCAATTAAGAAACACATTTATACGGTCTCTTCAAAGGGTCAAGGCGCCATCGGGGCCACTCTGTAGCTCATGGCTCCATTTCAAGAGGGGCCCGTCCTTCTTTCAGGAGCCGAACCTAGAGTCAGCAAAAGTCGAAGAATACGGACAAAGTGTTCTAAGAATGGAGTACTCAATGAAACGTTGAAAAACGCCTAATACCTGCCGTTAACTCGGTGACCTTTAGCTGAGAACTTGAGACCAGAAATACTTTGCACCGCTCTGAGAGAGGTCAATTTAAGACTTATGTGAATGTGAGCACACAAACGATATGAGCGTGAACAGACCACCAGTCCTCTGTGCGACACCAGTTGACATTTCAAATCTAGGCCACGATGTTTATCTCTGGGTCAAATACAAGAAACAGCGCACATTTTGGGTCCTAAAATCGTGATTCAAGGCACAATCGATTTTCTTATTGTCACTTACATTAGTAAAAGACACCCGAAACTGAGTATGATTATATCGCAGTTTAAATACCGATAAAAAAAATTTGATTTAACGTACATCGCTCATGGCAGTTTGAAAACAAAAATGTAATCGAACGTATGACACGTTAATCTGCTTCTTTTATTTTCTGGCTGGCGGCAATGTTTTCGAAAACTTTGTTTACTGGAATATAGTATGTGGCCCAGGGCCTCGATAGCTTAATATTCATAAGCGAAAATATATTTACTGTCACCTGATCGCCTTTGTCTCCTTTGTCACCTTTCTTGCCGCGTTTCCCCCTGGGTCCCTGGAACAGACGTCACACAATTGCTGCGCCCTGAGTAATTCATTCGTTTACAACACGTTCTCGCTAAAATTTGTTCTATATGAATGCTCGGACAGTTGATATTACAAATGTCAGGACTGTGCGCAGCTCTGGGAACAGAGATTGAAAAGTAATTTTCGTCGGTGTGCAAAACATTTCTTTCCACAAAAATAAAAATATTTTTTTTTTATTGCACTTAATTGTAGCACAAGAAAAATATCTGTAAGTGGTCAGTTTGTGAGGACTCATAAATACAAATTTCCTGTTCAAAAACAAACAAACAAAAAACTGCCCAGCAACGGATTGTTTTGTCGCTGCCTTCAGTGCTTTTTTATTGCAACCTTTATTCATTTATTTCCTATAAACTAGTAGTGTAAGTACCAGGTACAAGAAGCGTGTCACGTAAATGTTTCCTACATAAATAAATAAATAATTTAAATACCTCTTAATATGATGGATAAACTTAGAAGACATAATGCGAAACGTGTTTTGAGCTGCACTGAGTTCATTTGTGATTTTTCGTGAGTTTGGGAGCCACTCACTTTGGCGGGTGCCCACCAAATTTAGTGGCCATGTGTCGGGGTTTCGTGATGTTATTTCGGCACGTTATGTTAATCTCGCGGATACCATTCCTATAACGTATTGTTTTAAAGGGTCGACAAACAACGATCAATGGCAAAAAAAAGAAAAGAAAAGACGGTCACCCGAAAATTTTGTTTGGGTTAATTTTTTCAGAACAAGAGCTTTTTTTTTTTTTTTTTTTTTTTTAATAAACTAATTAACGTGCTTGATTCTGGGTCGTCAGTCTTGATCATAATTATCCTTATAACGTCTTTGTTTCTGTCCCATTAAGTAACCTATAATGTGACAAGAATTAAGCAAATCCAAACCATAAAAAAAAAGATCACGCCATCTATACATTTTTAAAGATATGCATACAGTGCAGATGAAACGTACAAGCGTCAGACTTGAAGACGCTAAATTATATAAAAAAAAAAACAATTATCGTTTAAAAGCTAACAAAAACAAAACAAAAAAACATAACGGCAGACGTTTGTGGCGACGAAGCTAGCAAGACCCCTTTGCCCAGTATAATCAAATTTCCCCGCAAGCCAAGGGTAGCAGATAGTCCCAACAAACGATGCCGGATCAATGCGAACCCGACGCGAGAACGCCTCGTTTATTAGCGTATACCCATACGCGTAAGTCCAAAAGTGCGGTTCCCCAAGACGTGCCTCCGGAACCCCCGGGACCGCAAGGACCATAAGCAGGGCTTGGGGAATCGGGTTGGATGGAACCTTGAGGGGGATAGCACTTACCAGTATCCCCGTCTCTCCTCGATCTCCCTTGGGTCCCTAGAACGGGAGAAAAGAAAAAAAAAGGAGAAAAACAAAACGATGCAAGAAGACGGTGCATTAGGCATAGCGTCGACGACTCCGGTAAGAGCACCAGGACCGCGCCGAAGACAGCACGTACCCTCCGGGATTTCCAAGAAATCAACGCACACAGTCACGCACGCACACCGAACACAAAGGCGACACTTTGCACGGCAGCAGCAAGCAGCTCTAGCATGCGCGGCTAGGGACACACGGGGATGGAAAGCGGGCATAGGGAAGAGAGAGGATACGGCGGAGGAGGAAGAGGTTAGCCCATGGGGACAGTGTCCTTAGGGACACGCTACAAGAGAAGTAGAGAGAGGGAGAGAAGCGGCGCTTCATAATTACCGGTAACCCGGGGATGCCGTCGGTGCCCTGATAAGTGGTAGGTGAGAAAACGGGAGTGGGGAAAAAGGGAGGAAAGGGTTACTCTTTGTTTCAACAGACTCACGTCAGTGGTTGAACTAACCACCGCGTATCGGTGCCTAGGGAGGCACGACCGACGCTTTGCCAGCAGTATGACACTGCGGGAAATTGGGGACTTTGGTTACGAAGCAAGCTGTTAGTGCAAGAAACAGTGCTGGACTGTCTGTATTCCCTACGCATGATGAATCTCGGCCCATCTGCTCTACCCGTCGTCCGTCGTTTGATCACGCAAAGAAATAAAAAAAATGAACGAAAGTCGTTTCTTTGTTTGTTGTCATGTTGCAAGTTCGACACAGAACACTTGAGGAAAAAACAAACAAACAAACTAGATAGCACGAATTACGCGCGCGGAAAAAAAAGACGAATCGAACGAGTTGCATAAAAAAAAGAAAAGAAAAACTAAGGTGGGTAAGGTCAGAAACACTAGGCGCTCCTAGTCTGCCTTTTTCTTGACTGTGAACCGTCAACCTCAAAATGTCCTTTACTTACGGGAAGGCCGGGCTCTCCTTTTTCCCCTATGTTACCTTGAGTACCACGCTCTCCCTGCGGACAACACAATAAACTCATCGTAAGAAAACATCACGTGGCACGTCGCGAAGAAAGAGCTTTATGACACGGCTGTGGCGAAGAGCGGGGAAGCTGTGTGGCCAAGTCACCTTCATCCCGTCCAGTCCTGGAGGTCCCTATAGACAGAAAAGAAGACGTGGACATCACTGACACCTGTGCAAATCCACCGGGCAAAGAAAAGAGGGCAACAGCGGGATAAAAAATAATAACGAAACAAAATTGAAAAAAAAAAGAATCTGGGTTGGGGTGCTTAGCGAGGCGAGCCGGGGGTCAACCATACCACAAGCAATCACACCATGCACCTCGGCAGCAAGCGTGTGAGAACGTTACATGTGCTCCCATCACCAGTGAGTTTTGTGTCCGCGCACCCTCGGGCCCTGCAAAGACGCGTTGCTCGCAACAAACAATGGATTAGTGTCAGGGTAGCGAGGGAATGTCGTAAAGGACCCGGGATCGGCCTAGGGCTCGTTACAAGAAAACTGTACAGGTCTGGAAGTATCCTTATGATACTCGGGCGACTTGAACGGCCACAGACAATTCGTCAAGGAGCTTTTACAGTGTCGTGGAGCTTGGCCTGCCGTGTCAAGCTTCTCCTGTAGAGACCCTTTCTAGCCTGTTCTCGGCACAAAAATACAGCTGTGACATTTAAAGAGTCTATATTTACTACTTTTAATGACACTTGTTCGACGAAGAAAGGAAACCACTTTAGCAGTGGCGTAGCCAGGGGAGGGGCTTATGGGGCTTCAGCCCTCCCCTGAAATTCAGCGCCCTCTTCCCCCCCCCTTCCCCGAAAAATTTTCCTGGCTACGCCACTACACTTTAGGGAATAGGTGCTTCCTTACTTCAGCCCTCTTGCAAGCGGCAAATTCACGGATGTATTTCGGCATCATATCGGAAGATAGAAGGGTGATACTTTTTAACAGGAATGATGGTTAGCTTAGCTCCACGTCATTATATGCAAATTGGTTTGTCTATCATTATAGAAGAAGAAGCACACGTGATAAGGTTTAATGCTCTGCCTTGCATTTATTTTGAATCAAATTGACTTTCTTCATTTTCTTTTCCTCCTTTCCTATTGTTCATTAAGTTTTTAAGTTTGTATTTCCTTTTTCATATCGGTAAATCTAAATTTTAAACTTCGTTTCTTTTCTGCAGTGAAATGCCAGCTGCAAGTCTACTCGTTTCTGGCTTTCGTGGTGTTTATATTCTTAATGTCTAATGAACGCAGTATAAAAACGTATTTCTTTCTTTTTCCTGAATGATGCGTACCAAATATCTCCTACCTTCTGAATCAGTGTATTACAGTATGCTCCAAGAGCCAGCCTATGTATGCAACATATGGTGTTCCCTTTTTAACTTCGCATAAACATCCAGTTTCACGCATAGGACTGCATGCATAAAAGGAAAAGCAGACACCATTACCTCTTTGCAAATTTTATGCACTAATTTATACCCTTTGTAATTCCACGTTGACATGTGGCCTATAACAGCTGCGTCTCAGTTGCCTCCAGCATTTTCGTATTTCTTCTGCATCCTCACTATTTCGTACCGTAGGTACCTACAGTACTTATCCACCCTCTCAAGCGTGGCTGTTGTGAGCTGTTGTCCCCGCTGTAGCTAAAGAAACAACCGATAATCTAGGCGTGCGAGATTTACACAGAAGGAAGGCGCGACCCTAACAACGCGCACGGGTTAGTGCGCCTGGAAGGAGGGCTTTTCCTAAAGCTCAGGCGCGCTGCGCGAAGCAGCGAAGCGGGAAGCCCATGCACACAAGATTTCTCCACTTTCATGCTCTACTCAGGGTTCCGCGTTTTCGATACTATATATATAAAGACGCCCAAAGTTGGTTTATTAAATATTTTTCTGGTGTTTCCCAAAAAGCAAAAAAAAAAAAAAAGTTTTAAATAATATAAGTACCGATCATTCGGAGTTCACTTTTGTTACTCAGCAGGGACCGCGGCAACGTTTCCAAAAGAAGCCCAGGCAAACACGTCGCAAAGCAGAGAGGGTGCTGATCTATAAGTTGTTCTTGCTAAATGACATTTTGATACGGTCAGTCTAAATAGATGTTTAATAGATGTGCGAGGCTCACACATCTATAGGGTGTCCCAAGCGGACCTTCCGATGAAAACGAGCCAAAGAATATCGGCGCCTGCGCAAAAAACAATTCAGACTTTCACCGAATGTGTACTGAGCAGGTCAATTACACGCTATGAAATTTCAAGGCGCAGTTTTCTTCCTGTAAAAAAATGAGAGCAAAGAAACTTGTCAAAGTCATGGTTGGTCACGTTGGCAAACGACCGAGTTAGCGACGCTATTTACTTGTGGCGCCATCTCCGGATAGGGGCATAGCGCAGGCGACGCACTTTGTTGTATGTTAGCTGTGCCTCTCGGGAGATGGCGCCACAAGTAAATTCTTGGGTATTTCCACCTAAAGACACTGGATCCCAGGATCTAGTGACTTTAGTTCCACCCACATGCCACAGCTTCATGATGACAAAAGCGGTGCTGTGGTCAGGATACCGGTGCATTTCTGCTCGAAGGTGCGTGGCGTGAAGTGTCTCCTCGGTATTCGTTGTGCCATGGCTGTGCAGTGAAGTGTTGTGCGCGAGCGCACAGCGCACGAGAGCGTCTTCTACTCCACGTGGTCATGCAGGACGCCCTTCTGCGCCGAGCCTCCTCGAGTGGAACTCCATTAGTTAACACGCCCATTAGTTAACATGCACGTCGCATCGCGTTAAACCCGACCGAGGTGCCCTCAATATGACGGAGGCTTATTGCGGAGAAGGCGCCGTGTAACCGAGCTTTCGGTTGCACGTCAAAAGATCCCCAAGTGGTCGAAATTAATCCTCAGTCCTCCGCTGGGGCGTGCCAGATGCCCGTCGTAGGTTTGGCACGTAAAACCCCCAAATTTGACTTTTTTTTTGGCATCGCGTTAAGCCGGGGTCTCACTGCTCATTCATCATACAAAAGAGAGTCTTCAAACACGAGTGACTGCAATATCCATGGTTCGAATGCTGCGTGATAAGTTTCTCCTTGAACACAATGCCATGCTGCATTCGAAGCACAGATGTCGCGGTGACTCGCGTTCGGATTTGTATGCAGACTGTCTTTTGTATGATGTATAGGGGCTATTCACTGGACGTCATATTTGAAGGCGATGTTGAGAGCGCATGCTCAGAACGAGTTCACATCAATAGCCTGCTAAGACCGGCAATCTTGATGGTGCGAAATGCACGTTGCAAAAGAACTGCGGAACATCGCCATCAGTGCGCGCTCAGCAGTCGCGCACACAGATATGGCCGACAGTGAATACTTCCTAAAGACGGCTTTCGTCTTCTTTCGTTCTCAGTCACGTGAGTTCCATATCTGGTATGCGGGACGAAAAAAGAAGACATTTAAACTTGGCATATGCGAGAAAATATAAGTGAGGCAAAACAAGAATGTGTGACAATCACGCGTTTTAGTGAACACCTTCCACCGGCGTGGAGAGATCAAAGCGATGTTTGAACGGATACTAGAAGTGGCGACATTCAAGATGGCTGCGCCCTTGTGGAAAAGGTGTATAAGCAGTATGACCCCAGCTTATCGCTTGTGTTCTTTCTCGCTCAGTATTCAACATCACTTGCCTGCTACAATAGATCGATCTTGCCAAGCGTTCGGCGCATGCGTGACGCCGCCATACCTTTAGTTCACGGAGGCAGACGGCCGTGAATGCGAGGGCTCGTGCGTCTCGTGCTCCACACGAACAAAGTTTCAGCAAGGTTGTGGTGTAGCGTGTGCAGAAATACTAAAAGTTCCCTCGATGCATTGCGGCAGTGGTGGCGCAGTCCAACTGGTTGGTGAGATCTGTCTATTGGTGGGGCCCTATCGTTTATAAATGAAGATCCATAGAGCTATTACAATAAACGCTAGAGGCTCAGCTGGCGCTAGTGTCTACGGGACTTCGTGTTGCAAACTGAAGCAGACGGCAAACAGTCTAATTTTCCAGTCTTCCTGTGTATTCCTATCGGAAAACGTACGTGATATTTTTCTCTTCGCCAGGGAATAATAGAAATCAGCAGAGTTTCTTTACTCGTAACGGGTACTATGTAGCTTTATTCACATTATACAAGTGTAATTTATTTAGGAAATGTTTTATTTTATTACTGAGCGACGTTTAAGTTAGCAAAAATTGGGGCCCAGGTCTATGTTGAAAAGCGTGATATGTCAGTACAAGCTATCGATTCAAGCAAAAACATGAAAGACGTTTACAATTCTCTGTAACGCCGAACTGGAGCGCAGCAGTTGAAGAGGAGGGAAGGGTACTGAGGGATTGATATGCGCTTCCTTTCCCGCTAAATTTAGCGGGAATATTGCCAATAATAGATGCGTAGACATCACGTGACGTCACGTATGACGTCACACGTCACGTGTTTCTTACAAGACGTCACACGTGTCGTCAGGAGGGTAACCCTCACGGGAGTTACTCCCACGGGGGTAACCCCGAGGGTGAAGGTAACCCTCAACGGTAGCCCTCACGGAGGTTACTCTCACAGGGGTGACCCTCACCGTCGTGACGTCATGTGTGACGTCACACGTCCCATAATGAAACGCGTGGTTACGCCGACGTTGACGCCGCGCAACCCGCAAACGGGCGCCTAAGAGCTGCACTCTAAAAGAACAAATAAAAAGTGTGTAAGGTTTATTCAAGCTGTAATAGCATTCAGATGACGGAAACGCGGTTTGTTACTAATCCAGTATGTGTTCTTCGTTCCATAAGTCCATGCTTCGTTCTTGTTGTCGGTTTTGATTGTTTGATTTGGCATATATTAGCATCCTTTTGGTGTTTTGTCAAGCTGATTCACTCTGTGTGCTCCACAGCATTGACTACAATAGCAGTCTGCAACGTCAACACGTATTATACATGTGCATCGGGCTATTTTAGCGCAGTGTCCAACGCCATGAAATTCAAAGAAAAATGTTCTGACACATACGTTTGTGCATCCGATTGTAAAACGTTCCAAACGTTTTATTCTGTCACAACACTAAGCAATACTCGCTCTTATAATCGAGCGCGAAGTGCGTTTTCCTATAGGAATACATTACTGGATGTCAAATTTAGAATGTTTGCTGT